AGAAACAGGAGAAAGTATTTAATTCTTCTCCATTAGGGATTGTTACTGGATGAGAAGAGAAATACTCTGTTTGCATTAAACACAAAGGTCTGATTCTTATTTGCTTCCTGATTTCTTTCGATTCCCTGGCCCATAGGCCAGTGCTGATTTTCACGGCCCTTTTACAAACAATAAATATTATTTTTATGGCAAATTAACATGGCAATCTGTATTTTAATTTACTTCTTACTTCTGGAAAAGTTAGTGTCCAGAGGAACAAAAAAACCCCCAAAAACCTAGATTCTCTTAAAGGTAATTTGTTCAAACAGTTCTCGTTATTTTTTTAATAATAAGTTTAAAAATCTATTATTATAGAGTAATTGCTCATCAAATTTCTTTTTAAAAGTCAAAGCAATTTTCAAATTATAAAGAACTTCTCAAATGTGTCTAGATAATTATGAGGCTGTATTTTATATAACTCCTGTTACTTCAGTAGGCTGCAAGGCCTGTTACAATCTTTGCCATGGGAGCACAAGATTGCATCAACTGTGTTCACGTGTAAAGCACCGTGTGATGCATGTTAAAGACAGTACATTTCTGTTGTTGCAAACATATCCACATGGGAATTATCTATCAACTTCCTAAAGCATCACTATTATGACCAGTACAAATTATGTTCTCCACGTTTTAAGGATGATAAAGCTGTATGCGAGATTAGGTAGGTAGGTAGACAGAGAGAGAGAGAGGGAGATGAATAGATTGATAAAATAGGTAGATAAATGAGCTATGACTTTAACTCATCCACCTTGGGAAAGAAAAATGGTTAAAGGCCACTGAAATTCTGGGATCTCCAGAAAAACACTTGGCATCAACAGAACAGCTACCCTTGGGACAGGACCCTTGAAACTTTTCGATGGCTCCACACCTCTCACTGAAATTGAAAACTTGCCACAATTTCTTCCTACCACACAGAATCTGATTTTTAAAATTGTCTGTGTACATATGAAGGCAAATATCTGTTTTACTTAAACATTGAAAAAATGGCAAATTTTGGATTCTCTAGGGTAGTGAACTGAGTCTGGGAGATATAGGGGAATCATGAAAACATATAAGAATTCTTAACATTGGACACACACGCACGGGAGCACACAAACACACATTCACTGCACCTTTGTCTGCCCTTCTCTATTTGATTCTCCGTTCTACGCAATTGCCCGCATCCTGAGACCTCCTAGATACTTTTTCCGGGCCCTTCGTTATCTAATCACTGCTCCCCTTAAATGCAGAGGCAAAGAGACACCTAGAGCAGCTCAGAAAAGGGTCTCGTTCACTTTAAACATTACTTTTCTTGTCATTATTCTCTACCCTCCAATACAGTTGCCGGCTGTGATCTGCTGCCTTTCAACTTGGAATAAAATACATTACTTATGCAGTGAATGTTTTTAATGTAACAAAGCAAAGGAATAAAAATGCCTTACAACAGTTTTATTAAAAACAAATTCCCACAGTAAATACATATACACTCCGTCTCTGGGAGCAAAGCAGCCAAGGACATCACCGCTAAGTGCTCTGGGAAGTGCTTATAAATTACTTGAAATAAAAAACATTGTTGCCTGGACATCAGGGATGAAATGCTGCAGTTTGTAATAAATTAACACAGAACTTTACTTCCCCTCCTCGAACAAAGCAGCCATTTGTCTGAATAACCCACATTCAGCTGTGAGTTATATTTTCACAACTGCAACTGCATTCATTTGCAAATTATTCTGCAGTTTTAATGCTCAAGTTTTAAATACCTTGAGAACTAATAAATAAAGCAAAGTAGAGCAAACAGTTGGCTTGTAGTTTAAAAACTGCCCCAATTTCTGCTTTTCTTTTGGCTTTTTTCCTTTCAAAGTTATTATTATTATTATTATTTGTAAACGGTATGAAGTTTCTTTAAACTACATTTTAAAAATAAGTCTAAAATATGTTTGGCGGTATTCACACCCGAGAGAAGTTTCCATAATTCCATTAACTGTGAAGGTGTTCAGCTCGTACTCATTTTATATTTTTAAGACTTTTCTTCTACCAATACTTTAATTTAGTGACAGAATAATTTATAACTATCTTTGAGGGGTTTCTTATTGTTTGTAACTTTTGTCTGCAAGTCTTGGATGTGGTTAGATTTTTGTTTCTCTCTCTCCCTCTACTAGATTTTGTCCAGAAAAAAAAAAAAATCTCCAAAGAAAAGTCGTGTCACTTCCCTTGAATTATTTTGATTATAAAACAAAAACTCTGTAAGAAAACTCTTTTCACAACCTGCTCGGTAAAACAAAACGAACCGCTTTCCAGGATCTTGAAAGAAAAATTTGATAGAAGCATTTACAGATTTAGTTTGAGATTTGAAGGTTATGTTCCTGGCCAAAAGAAAAAAAAATGCCCAGTTTCCTTGTTCGGAGTTACTAGCTTCGTCGAATTTCTTTTGCATTGTTTTAAATAAGGTCTTGTGTAGGCAATTGTACTGCATGGAAGTAATGCCTCCATTTTCAGGAAGCGATTTGGGGAGGAAAACTCTTCAGAAGCATGTTATTTTCAGAAAAGTGCCTCGTAAAATATTTTTATAAAGTAGGAGTTGAAATCATTTAAAAATCTGTTTGGAGAAAGATCTTTTGATCCCCTCTTTCTTCTGATCCTTAGCTTTTATTTTGCTTAGAGGTAAACAACATTTGCCTCATTTAAACAACGGCATTTGCCATTGTGGTTCTTAAATAGTTTTCCAGCCACCCTATGGCAATTCATCACATGGGATAAAATAAGGATACTTTGCATCCAAGACTTTTATCACCTCCCGGGAAATGTTTGTTGTTTTTTGCTTTAGTGTTTTTTTTCTTCTCTCTCTCTCTCCCGCCCCTACCCCCACCCCGAGCTGCGGGGGGGGGGGGGGGGGGGATTGTTTTAGGACATTTCAAAGCCTTTTGTGAAGAGGCAACCAAAGTCCTTCTGCGGAGAAAAAAAAATGCTTGATTACATGCACTGCAAAACGGGAGATATTTCCAAATGCCCTTTTAATTAAGATGTCTAAATAGCCATTTCCTTGGAGAGAGAGATTTCCAAGCAGTTTAAAAATAAGGATGCTTAACTGCAGCAGACGTTCTGCCCTCTCTGACCCTGTAGGCGAGGGGCTGTCACCTGGGGAGCTGGTAAATGGACATTCATTCCTATAACTCCATAAAGGTCAGATGGGGAGGAGCACCCAAAACAGAGGTCGGGATGCGGAGGTGATCACAGGACCATGGGCTTCTATTAAGAGAAGCTCGCTCCTCTAGTTAACCAGGTCATTTCTGAAAGTGCATACACCTTTGTCATTTTTCAAAATCACTCAGCGATGACTGGTTTGGTGCTATTTGATTCTCTGACCATCCAAGCCAGATTAAGAGCATTTGCTAAGGCCCTAAGGACTTCATAGCTGGCCACCCATCTGGTGTTAGGCTTGAGTCTGTGAAAATCCCTCAGCTTAGCACTGAATATTCTTTTTAAAGACGTTTAAGTAAAAGGGCTGACATTAGCATATGTTCCCCCCAAGTGTCCTGTTGAACTTTCTGCTGGGCATCACCCTACCACGGGCTTTCTGGATGTTGTCCAATGAGAGATTGGCTTGGAACTGTAAAATTAGCCATCTGCCTATTAAAAATGTAACCAGCTGCATCCGATGAAACACAGTGACTATTGAAATGAACTCATCCGGGAGAGAACTCGAGTCCCCTGCTTGGACATTTTTCCAATCTACTGCTAGACTGAGACACTCCACAAGCAAAGAGCCTTTCGTCCTTGTTTGGAGGAAAACGGCATGACTCTCAAGAATGAAGAAGACTTGCGTGTTTGTTTTGTTGCTAAAATTCTGGCATTTCTCAGGATGAGTTGGACTTGAAGTGCAGAATTCTCAGTTTGTCTGCCATTTGTTTAAAACACTCTCTGTTGCAAGAAAAATAAAATATAAAATAAATAAGCACGCCCCTACTATCTCCCTCACTTCAAGATGTTGTGTTAAATCCTGGGCACATCTAATAAACCTTAATCCCCAAGCCTAAAATACTCTAAGCAGCACAAAGTAACTTAAAACAGAGAGCTGGAGCCATAATTATTCCCGCAAGCACTACCATTTCACCAGATATTAGGCATTCTATATTTACCACAAGGTCTGTTTATTAAAAATGAGAACTTTCAATGCTTGCGCTATTTTTTTCCCTAAAGCCTAATGGAGCATTAAAAAATAATTCATTAACTAATTAACAAAACTGTGTTTATTTACAGTATATAAAATGTTTCTATCAGGAAAATAACACACCATAATACAGCGTTGTGTTGACAGCAAAACATCTGCAGCTTAATTTAATGCATTTACTAAATGACGAGGGGAAATCAAAGGATGTTTAAACAGCTACTTTTCTGCCTGTGATTTGTGTTTCTCTTCAGAGGTCACAGGCACCAAGGAAAGATGCCCCTTGGGAAGTCGGAGCTATTTTCAAAGGTGCTCAATACAAAAATCTTTATGCAATTAAGGAAAGACCGGTCTGCACATGGCTTGGACTCCAAGCCAGTTATCACAGATGGGTCCGTGCAAATGTCCTAAATCTAACTGCTTGGAATTCACTAAGTGCTGTTAGGTTGAACCATATGAAGATGTCTTTTTTACAGGTCAAAATCTGTCAAATATTGACAGCTTTATTACATTCAATCTGATATTTCCCATTTGGACTTCCTTCCCTATCTTCCTTCCATCCTCTCTTCTTTCTTTCCTTCATTCCTTTCTTCTCTCCTCCCCCTTTGTTCTCTTTTCTGTCTTTCCTTCCTCGCTTCTCTTTCTTTCTCTCTCCCCTACTCTCCCTCTCTCCCCTCTTCTTTCTTTTATTGTCTTGGGCAGGATTTTTGCAAACATAAAATATTTGACTCAAACTAAGTATGAATTGATAAACTTGCCTATTAGATTAGAGTATTCTATTTTAAAATGCATTTTGCTAGGTTCATGTTTTCGCTAAATCTCTCCTCTGCTCCTGCCTGAAACTTCTCAGAAGGCAAAGGGTTTTTGTTTGATTGTAGATCTGATTTCCTTATCACCACCCTAATATGAAATTCCAAGAAAATTGTTTGTATTGTGGTAGTAATTACATTACATGCAATTCAGGTAGATATATAAATCAAAATCTCTCAGAAGAAAAGATTATAGCCTGGTTAAAAAAAAATCAGCAATAATATAGGCAAACGTGATGTTTTGAGAATTTCTCTTTCATTCACTTAGACCTAAAGCTTAGAGTGATCTTAGGAATTACAAAATGAACTAGAAAAAAACATCATTTTCTCCTTAACAACCAAGCATATTCTTAACATCTACCTTTGTTATAATGGTGCACTAATAATAAAATGTTTTATTTCAGCTTGGCAACTCAGAGGCCATCCATGCTGCCTTTCTCCAGTAGAACCCTGGCTGTGTGACAGCCATAAGGATGTTTCGTATAGCAACTTCACCTGTTTCAGACGCAAATACATTTTAAGCCTCTTAAGCTACATAGAGCAAATAGGCTATATCCTGAAAACTAAAGTACTGCTTAAAATTAGATTTTTATAAAAGTCTAGTTCAGCAAATTGTACAAACTGAACAGAATTGTTTTCACTATGTCCCTCTGGATGTATACGTGGGGAGTCTATTCACTCACAATACTAATATCTGTTGCATAGTTGCAATCATGCATTGCTTAACTATGGGGGGTGTATGTTCTGAGAAATTTGCTGTTAGGCTCTGTCGTCTGCAAACATTGCAGAGTGTACTTACACAAACCTAGATGGTATAGCCTACGACACACCTAAGCTATAGAATATGGTCTATTGCTTCTAGGCTGCAAACCTGTACAGCATGTCACTGTGCTGAATACCGTAGGCAGTTGTAACACAGTAGTATTTGTAACTCTAAACACAACTAAACATAGAAAAAGTACAGTAAAAAATGCATAATTATAATCTTATGGGACTACCACCATATATTTGGTCCATCATTGACCAAAATATCATTATACAGTGCATGACTGCCTATGAATGTGGTTATATCGTTCTGCTGTGGGCTGAGCATGGACATTGGTTTGGCTCCCTGTTCTGAGGCACTGTTAGGGAACCATCCATGCAACCTCATTACCTTTCCCCCTCCACCAGCTCCAAATCTTAATCACTGTTAAAGTCAGACACCAAATATCTGTAACCTGGCATCAGAGTTCTTTTTTGACCAGGGATAGAAATCACTTAGCAAATGTGCTACCACTAACCCTGCCTGTGACCTCTGCAGACATCGCTAGTGGATTACAGCAGTCTTCCTCATTGAACCCAGGCAAAGCCTCAGAAGGCTTCTCTAAACACATACTACAAATCAATCAGAGTTGGCTCAACAGATGAAAACTCTTAGCTGAAACTAACAAAGCCACATGGAGATCAAATCAAGGACCTTAAAACAACAGGATAAATTGTTTTGCCACCAGTTTGTCCAGTGTGGCCTCAATTAACTATCCTAACTGATCATCTTCAATTAAACAGGTTTGTTTATCTTTTAGCTACACTTTATCTGTAAGACAAAGAGATACACATTATTTTCTTTAAAAGCACATATCAAGGGATTACTGGGACCTATAACCTTCCAGGCTATTTTCTGCAGTCAGGTGACAACTAACCTCATCTCTTATTCCATCTGCACTAATCCCTACAGGCGTGGACAGTGCAAAATGTTGTTTAGACTGACAACCTAAAGCAGATTTGTTTTTCCCAACTATACTTCTTAAAGACTCAGACATTTCCCAAAATAAGTAAAGAAAAAATATACTCAAAGAATAAAAACGAATACCAGGAAAGATTTCCTGGAAGGATGCATACCCCTGATCTCATTTGCATTTTGAACCATGGAGATAATGTTCTAATCAGTGATGAGTGAGTGCACATTCCTGCATAGGGCCTTCTATAGCTTCCATTACCCACAAAATAGCCAACTCACTTTTCTGTGTAAAAGACAAAGTGCTTTGTTGATCCTTATCTCATGCAGTCTTACGCCTCCACCCCCACCCCCATTCTATATTCAACCTCTGTAAATTATTTACCTACATCGTTTTCTCAGACCCCTGTACCCTTGCATGGACCGTATTTCCCGCCAGGCATATGCTATTTTCTCTGCCTGGTTAACTTTTTTTGTGCGTGAGAGGAGTCTCACTCTGTCGCCCAGGCTGAAGTTCAGTGGCGCGATCTTGGCTCGCTGCAACCTCTGTCTCCTGGATTCAAGTGATTCTTTCACCTTAGCCTCCCAATAGCTGGGATTACAGGTGAGTGGCACTATGCCTAGCTAATTTTTGTATTTTTAGTAGAGACGAGGTTTCACCATGTTGATTGGCCAGGCTGGTCTCAAACTCCTGACCTCAGATGATCTGCTCGACTCAGCCTCCCAAAGTGCTAGGATCATAGGCGTGAGCCACCGCGCCCCACCTGCCTGGTTAACGTATGCTCATCCTTCATTCCTCATATCCCTCAAGACACAGTTCACATATCAACTTCCATTTGTGCCTAAACATGCAGAGTCCAATGCAGGTAGAGTCCAATGCTCTCTTCCCTAAATATAATTGGGTAATTTTCTTCTTCTTCTTTCTTTCTTTTTTTTTTTTTTTTTTAATACAGACAATCACTCTGTCCCCCAAGCTGAGTGCAGTGGTGAGATCTCTGCTCATGGCCACCTTTGCCTCCTGGATTCAAGAGAATCTCTTGCCTCAGCCTCCGGAGTAGCTGGGATTACAGGTGTGCATCACTACAGCCAGCTAATTTTTGTATTTTTGTTAGAGACTGGGTTTCACCATGTTGGCCAGGATGGTCTGGAATTCCTAGTCTCAAGTGATCCTTCCACCTTGTCCTCCAAAAGCGCTGGGATTACAGGTGTGAGCCACTGAGCCGAGCCTGTGTAATTTATTTCTAAGCAGACTGGTTAAGAGCCCAGACCCTGTAGCAAGATTCCTCCGTCTACAATGCTAGCTGCCCTCTTGCCAGTTAGGAGTCTTCAGGCAAGTGATTTAACCTCTCTAGGACTTGGATTTTCTTCTGTAAAATGGACATAGTAGTAACTAACTAAAGATTAAGAACAGATACGCATGCAATATGCTCAGAATGGCAAATAGTATCAACACCTGTTAGCTATTATTTTCTATGATAACTTTCAATTCCCATGTCTGTGAATCTCCCACTGAACACATGGAGCTTACTCTTTTCATCCTGTACCCAGTTTTTGCCTGCAGCCTGACATGGTGTAAGCACTCAAGGAAGGTTTGCTGGCACTTGTTAAAATGAAGAATAAGAGAATGGAAAAAGTAAAGAAAATGTGAATCGTGTTAGGACTAATGGAAATATATACTAATATAAGGATTGACAAAAAAATAGAGAACATATGTGTACTAATAATAAGTATACTTTATAAAAAGGTAGTTGAAAATGCAGCTTCTTATATATTAATGTTAGGCTTACATATAGCCACTCATCAAGGGAAAGTAGAGAATTATCACATCTGTAGGAGCAAAAAGCTCACTGGGCTAAGTTATTTTCCACCTCCATGGTGAGAATAAGAGGTCCCATGAAACATGATGCTAAATATATGGTCTTTTTTCCATCTATACGCTGATAACCAAAAATCCAAACCAGCTCATGCCAAGCAGGAGAAGAGGGTGGGTGTGAATGAGCCGTCGGAAGGTCCAGGTCTCTGGGGCTGGAGGAGAAATGTCTCCTTTAGGGTAGATGTTCCCCACTAATGCACACAGCCTTTAGAGCCAGATTACCTGGGTTTGAGTCTCAGCCATGACATTTACCAGCTGGGTGACCCCAGGCCAGGCACGTCCCCTTTTTGTCTTCAGTTACCTTGCCTGTAAAATAAGGGATAATGTGGGCATGACCTCATAGGGTTGTTGTGAAGTGAAATGAGATAATCCTCGTAAATCCCTAAGCACTGCACCTGGCACAAACATGCACTTCATAAATGTATGCGGTCATGATTACCAAATGAGGCTTCTCAACGGGGACTCGGAGACTTGGTTGGTGAGGCTGGGAAGCAAGGAAGCTTCCAGATAGGAAGAGACAGGCCGGGACCTAGGAGAATGCATTTGGCGTTAAGTGGGAAAGAGAGAGTGTGCTTGCTTCTGTTCCCTGTGTTTGGATTGGCTTTTTAAACAGCACAACCTCCGCTAACCTTAGTTGCAACACTGCACTGAAATGTTACTCCCAGGATTTGACATTTCCTTATTCTTCCTACGACTGTTTTCTCCTTTGTTGCTTTGAAAATATGAATTAATGATGAATACTAATGAGCCCCGTGACAAGCCAACCTCCGTCTAGACACCGCTAATATAGGGAGCTTCAAGACTCACGGCACTTCTAAGGAGGGAAGATGTAAAGAATCTTTTCCCTGATTTCTAAACTCACATGGCCCCAAAAGTCATTTTCTTCCCCTTTCCTCCCATCCAACTCCTTCCCTTTAAAATTTTTAAAGAATCTTCAAGAAAGCCGCATGAATGAGACTTTGAACTTGTTCATAAGATTTTATGTGTCTACCTGGAGTAGACATTAAATTGCTTTTTTGGTTAAAGTACTGTTGCATTTATGAAAATCTTGCTGGATGCCTTTTTATCACCCTGTGCTTGCTTTTTTTTCTTTTATTGTTTCTTATGTTGTTTCATGGAGCTTGGGGATTTGTGAAGCAGCCAACCAGAGGGAACTGAAGTCATTGATACTGAACACACAGTGACTTCCTAGCTGATGCCAATTTCCCCTCCCCCTCCAATAAAAACAGCCATATTTGTCTACCTTTGGCATCAAAGACAATTTTTATTGTATGGTCTGTACCACTGTCTCAACATGATGATAGATTTCTGAGCATTAAAATCCAAAGAGAAACTAAGAAAAAATTATCATATGGAGGATTTTAGAGTAAAGCCGTATAACTGATTTGGGTTCTGTAAACTTAGACAATTTTGCCAGTCCACGTCACTATTTACACCGAAGACATTCTGTGCATTCAGCAGCTATTGTATTAGGGAATAGCTTTCAGAAGCAAACAGAACCTTGCCATTAGGGCTGTCTCTCCACCCTGAGCTCCCTTTCTTGGCTGCACTCTGTGGATCAGAGGGCTGGACATCAACAACTGAAGAAAAAAATGATAAGAGATGGGCACCCAGCAAGACCCTAGTACTCACCAAAGCCATCCCAAATTAGTTCCTGACTTCACTGACCCCTGGAAGTGCTCCCATTGAAACAGTAAAAGAAGTTCTGTACCGAAGATGTAGATTCAAATCCTAATTGGCCAGCCGATGTGGCTCACGCTTTTTCATCCCAGCACTTTCGGAGGCCGAGGCGGGCAGATCACTTGAGGTCAGGAGTTCAAGACCAGCCTGGCCAACATGGCGAAATCCTATCTCTACTAAAAATGTAAAAAATTAGCCAGGCATGGTGGCACTCACGTGGAATCCCAGCTACTCAGGAGGCTGAGGCAGAATCGCTTGAACCCGGGAGGCAGAGGTTACAGTGAGCTGAGATCATGCTACTGGACTCCAGTCTGGGCAACAGAGCAATACTCTGTCTCAAAAACCGAAAACAAAAACAAAAAAAAAACACCTAACTAACCTAACTAGTATGTGACCTTCAGTCTATTAGCCCCGTGACTCAGTTGACTTATTGTAAAATAGGGATACCGTTAGAACCTCCTTCTTCTGACTGTCAAAAGGATTAGATACTTAGAATATCTATGAAACTTAGTCTCTGGCTAGTGGTAAGAGCTCAAGTGTTTCTTGCCAGTGTAGATACATATAAGCAGGTCACGTGATAAAGGAACTAAACTGACCCAGTTTCTCCTACTCACTGGAGAAAACATTCTATCCAGGATTCAGCAGGAGTTGGTGACTTTCTTGCCCAGGAATTCCTGCATGCAGAAGCTCTTCAAAATAGAGTCAGAATTGTTTCCGTTTTACTAAAATTGTCTTTAACTTGCTTTCTCACTTCAAGCACAAATTTCACATTTATCACCCCTATGAGTTTTCTAATAATTTCTTCATCAAATTATATGTCACCTATTAGCATGTGTATTTATTCGACAACAAATTCACCTAGAACCTCCCAGCTCTAGGTGTGGAGGTAGTGGGCAGTGTCAGGGGTTGGGAGGGGATATAGGCTCATAGCAATCACAAGCTGTGAGGCAGTCCCTGTCCTGGAGAAAGTCATGGGCAAATGGGTGGATCCAGGCACTTAAACAACAATATTAGTGGTAGTTTAGTACAAAGACTATGAGTGTGGTCTCTGAGCCAGACTTTCTGAGATGCAATCTAGTCTCTACCACTAAACAGCTGTGTGACCCTGGACAGATCTCTTACCTGTCTGTGCCTCACTTTCTTCATCTACGAAATGGACATGAAAATTATACCCACTTCATAGAGTTGAATGAGATGATATGTCTAAAACATTTAGAATAATGCCTAATACATTATGATATTATGTAAACTTCATCTTAAAACCTAATGAATGAAAATTATAATTTGGTGTGCTATGGACCAAGCCCCATGCTCAGATGGGCTTTACATTGATTATCTGTCTCATTTCACCCTTGCAAGGAAATGCACACATCAACCCTGGAGACTTTACTTGGCCTTGGTTGTAAATTGGAGTTAATGAAGTACCTTCCTACAACATTGTCAAAAGGATTCAATGAGTTAATATGTGTAGAGTAGTTAGGGCTAGGCCAGCACAAGCAAGGCAAGCTTACAAAGTTTAAATAGCTTGCCTGGATTTACATGGCCAGTTGATAAGGGTTGAATCATTATTTAAACACAGGCGTGCAACTACTACCTTACCACAGTGACTGACTGAAGAGAATGCACAACCAGACGCAGGTCTATGCAAAGCTTTGTGAAAGCACAAATCCTTCAGTCATGCCTGGGAGGATCAGGGGAGTTTACATGAAGCAGATGATCCATCCCTTCCTTCCCTCCCTCCCTGCCTTCTTTCCTTCCTTTTTTCCTTCCTTCCTTTCTTCCTTCCTTCCTCCCTTCCTTCCTTCCCTCCCTCCCTCCCTCCTTCCTTCCTTCCTTTCTTCCTTCCCTCCCTCCCTCCCTCCTTCCTTCCTTCCTTCCTTCCCTCCTTCCTTCCTTCTGTCCCTCCTTCCTTCCTTCCCTCATTCCTCCCTCCCTTCCTCTTTTTCTATGACAATGGCAGTGGACATTTATTTACTTTGGTTCAGTGCAATAGTAATGACTCAGTATACACTAAAAAAATATTACAAACTCCTGTGGGTCAAGAGACGTGATCGTTTATCACAAGCCAAGATGTAGTCACATATCACGTGAGCACACAGGCTGGTAAGTGGCTTCAGTGGTGGTTGGGCTGACTCAGCCTGAAGCAAGAAGAAAGCAAATGTGGTTAATTAAGACTGCAGGGAATGTTTAGACTGTGTGCAACCGATACCCTAGCCACCGTCTCCATGTTTTCCTGCAGAGGAAATTTGCATACAACTCAAATATTACCATGCTTCCTAAAACCCTCCCAGATATTGTCACGGAAGGAATTGTGAAGAACGACTTAGCACTTTTAGAATTACCCCAGTTCCACGCTTAAAGAGTGGTGATTGATTAGAAAGGACAAGTAGTAATTCCCGAATTATGCTTCTATTTATATTTCAATTACAACACTGCGAGAAGAAAACAAGACTTGTGTCCCTTCAGGGCCTCTGTAGAACTGGGCTTAGTGTCTCTCACATAGATGATGCCCATAAAGGAATAGTGAGCCAAGGGATGAAATAGAGAGGGACCTTATTATGTATTTGATAGAATGACAAGAGATCTCTCTTGGTGCTTTAGGGAAAGATCCCAAAATAAAAACATGTAAAGTACAAGTTATCTTTCCTAATGACTGGTAGGGAAGAACCTATTGGGAAAACACACCCTGGAGTTGTTTTTCAAACATTAAATAATAGACAATACACCCTCCTGTGAATTGTTCCTTTAGCTTCCAAAATCAGCCAGTTGGCAGAAGACACTAACACACACATACCTCATTAAAGAGATCTTCTGAGTACAGCTTCTAAAGCAAGTGATGCTCCCAAGCAGATTTGGAGTGACAGTAGTTCCACAAACTCATCCAAGAAATAAGGGTTCTTGTTCCAGTAAGTAGAGAAAAGCTGCAACAATAACCCTTTCTTGGAGATTCACAATGCACACTATTCTGTTAAAGCATCTGCAACAACAGAAAAATGTATTCAGTTGTGTTTAACACAATGATGCCCAACTATATTTGGCCATAAAATTCTAAAACATGTATTTATATTTTAAATGTATCTTTTAATTTACATCTATATAACTGTGTCTATATCTATAGAGAGATGCATATGTATCCTGAAGAAATGGTTTCTAATAAAATACACATAACAGAATACTCTTCTTGGCTAGATTGTGTTGGTTGTATTGAATGTGAGCATAGGCTGCAGGTGAGTAAGACCCTGCCCTCCAAGTAGCTACTGTATGATGTGATGTCTATGGGAGGCTTTAATGGGGAGAAGATAATGTGGTATTGCAGGAAAAAGAAATTCTGGGTACAGGAACTAATGAATATGGAAACACAGTGGAAGTGGAGAAAGACAACAGAACTTCTGAAATTGTAATACCAGCCTCGCCATACTTATATGCCCCAAAGAGCTGATTTTGAGCCCTGATGGTTAAGAGCTGATTTTGAACTCTGATTTTGAGCAGGATGGCTAAAACCAAGAACTATACTCATGGCCAGGCACAGTGGCTCTCACTTGTAATCCCGGCACTTTGGGAGGCTGAGGTGGGTGGATCACCTGAGGTCATGAGTTCGAGACTAGCCTGAACAATATGGTGAAACCCTGCCTGTACTAAAAATACAAAAATTAGCTGGGCGTGGTGGTGCATGTCTGTAATCCCAGCTACTTGGGAGGCTGAGGCAGGAGAATCTCTTGAACCCGGGAGGCGGAGGCTACAGAGAGCCAAGATCATGGCACTGCACTCCAGCCTGGGTGGCAGAGCAAGATTCTGTCTGAAAAAAAAAAAAAAAAAAAAAAGAATGAATGAAAGCTGGGTGCAGTGGCTCAAGCCTATAATCTCAACACTTTGAGATGCCTAGGTGGGAAAATCACTAGAGTCCAAGAGATAAAGACCAGCCTGGGCAACATGGCAAAATACTGTCTTTACAAAAAATACAAAAATTGGCTGGGCATGGTGGAACATGCTCATAGTCCCAGCTACTCAGAAGGCTGAGGTGGGAAGATCACCCGAGCCTAGGGAGGTTGAGGCTGCATTGAGACATGCTTGAGCCACTGCACTACAGCCTTGGAGACCCTGGAAAGAAACATAAATAAAAAAGAAAGGAAGGGAAGGAAAAAGGAAGTGGAAGGTAAAGAAAA